AAAAAAAAAAAAAAAGTCTTGGGTCTATGAGCTCTTGGGGCTCTTTGCAGTCTGATGGCTGATACTAACCCAGGCACAGACAGCATCTGTCTTCTTCTGGGGCCTTTTCTGAGGCTACACTCAAATAACCTCCTTCCCCAGAGGCGTGGAGGGGTAGACGAGAACGCACATAGAGCATGACCATGGGACAGTGTCAGTTATGATTCCTTGTGGAGCTGCACTTCAAGTTTATTCCGACTTCTCTGAAAAAGATGTTTGTTGAGCATGATGGAACTCACTTCCTCCCAAGCCATTCTCCCTCCGTGGTTCTAAGAAACCTGTTAGTGCCTTTGGACACATGAACACTGGGACCCCGAGATGTAAGGTGCATAAGGCTCTCCAGGGGGCTGGGAGCTCAATTCCCTCACCACTGTGGACAGCGCAGGCTCCCCTTGGGCTCCCTGTGTTGTGTGAATGTGACACCTTCTCACCCAGCTTCATTCACCAAGCTCCAGGAGGTTCAGAATCCCGAAGTGACCTGGGCCCTTCAGAAAACAGGACTATTCATGTTCCACGTGATACCCAAGCTGCACTGTGTGAAACACAGAAATACAAGATGGCCAGGGTGTGCTTGATTCAGCGACCACTTGTAGCTGTTGGGTTCCCCTCCCAGGGACAAGACGGCTGCCTGATTTCCAGCCCTTCTTTCAGCTGGAGACTAGCTGGTTCCTGAGGCCTCTGATAAGCACTGCTTTCCAGAAGTCTCAGTAGTCTCTTCCCCACATGCTCCTTATGCAAAGATCAGATGTTTCGCAGGCAGGATCTGTAAACACGAGCGAAAATGTCATTAAGGCATAATCAAGAAGCGCTAAGCCCCATCTATTTCTTTTAGAGAGAAAAACACTTCCACTCTTACTCAGGACCTACAGACCTTAGTTTTTCACAAAATTCACAAAATGAACCCAGGTACCAGAATTCCTAAGTCTTTTTTCTTTGCTTTGCTTCCTTCCTTTCCTTCTTGTATCAGTATGCTTGCAATACATAAGAAATATATTCTTTGTGGGGAATTGGTAATGTACACACTGCCTTTTAATCTCTTTTTCTGGATTCCTAGGTCTTGAAAGATGAACAGTAGCAGGTGAGAAGCAGACTATTCTAGTGTTCTAAGACAGTGGCAACATGACACTTCAGAAAACATAAATTCACTTCAGTCTAGTATATTCATAAATTCACTTCAGTCCAGAATAATCTATCATGGAGGTAAGAAAGGAATTCTCCTGCGGACTTGGCTTTGGGTCTTTGATCCACCACGGGCTTTTTTTCTTTTTTCTTTGAACCCACTGCCTTTGCAATGAGCTACATCACCAGCCCCCTTTCCTTTCTTATTTTGCATTATGACATAGGATCTTGGTAGGTCACTAAATTGCCTGGGATTGGCTTGAACTTGTGACCCTTCCTGCCTCAGCCTCCTAACATACAGTACGAGGTGTACATTAACCACCTGCCTCCACCACTGGCTTAATATGCAATTTAATCATTCCGTCAGACAGGAAGATTGTAATTTCAAGCTCCACCTGGGCAACTTAGTGACTCAGGGATATCCTGTCTCAAAATAAAAAATAAAAAAGGGCTCATGATGGAGACCACTATGCAACCGACCTGAGCAGGACTTAAATTAACCAACTAGCTCTTTTTGTTTATTTGTAAGTCTGTCCAAGGCCTAGGCCCCTTGTCTGGAGAGGGGCAGTGGACACATAGTAAGTGAACCTCTGTGAGTCACTGATCCCTACTAAGGCCTGTAATGGTGGATAAGACAAGATCACAGCCAAGGACACCTGGATTCAACCTCAACTAGATAAAGACTGTAGCCACAAGCAGCTCACTCCTGGGTGGATTAACTTAATACCTTACTTGGAGAAGTCCGTGAGTGGTTCCACCCTTCTTGAGTACTTCCCTCCCTTCTTCTGATAACTAAATAAACACGGGCCACCCAGAGAAGGTTGTGGTTTTAGCCCTGAGAGAATCTTGAGTTCTGTGAGAGGGCTTTGATCTTCCTGGAGCCCTGAAATCATTCCATTCGCCTCTTTTTATTTAGCCTTCACTGTACACTCTTTTGGGAGACTTTGGACCTGATCAGTCTGCAGTAACTAAGGGATATTATTAACCCAAGAGGCTGGGGCTATAGCTCAGTGAGAAGGCTCTATATTCCCTGGGCTCAATCCCCAGTACTACAATAAAACAAAACAAAACAAAACAAGACCCATACACAAAAGACAACAGCAATAAAGAAACACTCTCAGTTCCAACTCCTTGCTCCCTAAAATAAGTTATGTGAAGATCAGAACAATAACACTTAAGATTGCTGAGTGTGTATGCAGTGTTGAATGTGTTTGCAGCTCTCATGATGACTGGGGTGTGTGTGGTCATAAAGTAACAGCTCCAAAGCGGAAAGGTAGAGCAAACATTTTAAGAAGTGTATTTGGAAATATACTGAAGTGTTAGCAATGACTACGAGGGTAGATGGATGATCAAATCTTTTTTTTTTTGCCCTTAAACTTTTCTCTTATTTCCACAATTATGTTTTGATTTGTTTTTTTGGTACCGGGAATCAGACTCAGGACCTTGCACTTGCCTGGCAGGCGCTTGTGCCGCTGAGCTATATCCCTGGCTCCACAATTGTGTTTTATTTTCCTTCTTACCATCCTGGACACCTGGCATACCAGGAGAGGTCAATACATGTGAACTGAGTGAATTTGGGAAATGACAGAAGATAGGTTTTGGTAGTGATTAGAACTGTACCCTCTGACCCTGGAGGAGTAAATGGGGCTCTTGAGGTGTTCACCCGTGTGAGTTACTTCACATTCAGCTGCAGAGTAAATATTAACAGGCATAGGACTCAGGCTTCAGATCTATGAATCTCTGCTATCTGTGATAGTGCCACCTGGGAATAGGCTGCGGGGAACAGTAAATTCTGTGTGTCCACTTCTCCGAGCCACAGGGTGCCTACACAGCTGGTTGAATGTTATCGGGGTGACTGAAGGTGCTGGCGGGAGAGATGAGCAGTTGACCTGGTGCACTAAGTGAAGCGGCCCCGCCCTCCTTCCCCAGCGTGGAGGGCGCTGTTCAATCCCCGAGGGCATCAGTAGAACAAAAAGGAGCAAGGCTGAATTGATTCCCGCTGACTGCTCCAGCCGGCACATCAAGCTCCAGCCTTCACAGCGGCTGGTTCTCAGGCTCTCTAACCTGGTCTATGAGGCGCAACACCCGATCTCCCGGCTCTCCAACGCCCAGACGGCACTGTGGGACTTCTCTTATCCATCCATGCATCCATCCATGCATGCATGCATCCATCCATCCATCCATCCCAGTGGAGAACCCTAACTAGGAACAGGTAGGTGGGTGAGGTTTTCTTTGCTCTCCTAAGCCCATTTTACCATTACGGAGGTCTAGAAAGGTGCAGCAACTCATTCAAAAGTTCTTTTTCTTTTGACAGGGTTCCACTGTACAGTGCAGGCCCTTGAACGTTTATGTGGCCCAGGCTGGACTTGAACTCATGGGGACCCTCCTACCTCAGCCTCCTGAGTGCTGGGATTACAGGGTGCACCACCACGCCCAGCTTAAAAGTTCCTATTTCTACAAAATAAAAACACAGTGAAAATTTAGTAGGTGCTAAAACTTGGTTTTGACATTTTATTAAAAAAATATATTTGCAAACATATAAAATTTAGGATGAAAAATGCTCATTTTAAAACATGTAATAACTTAATATTTGCAAACATACACAGATGGTATAAAAATGTTACCATACCATTAAAAATGTTAATGATGCAGTACTGCACTCATGGAACAAAAAAACCTTGCTGCCCCCCCACAGCTTCTTGCCCCACGCTGCAGGGCGCTGAGAGTCCGTACAGTGAAGTCACGGGAGCCACGCTGCCAAAGCAGTAATACAGGGTAAAAAGATCACTTAGCGCACACAGTTTAGAAACACGTTTCCTAAGGGTTCACAGAGACACAAGGAAAACACAATCTTGCATTTTTCCCACTTTGAAGTGATCGATATTGCATCGCAGCATGTTAAAGAAAGATGTCAAATCCAAATCTGAATGAAGCACTGCACGTATCTCTCCTGCTGAAATCTGCCAAAAAAACAGGCTCCTCGAGGCCCTGGCCCACTCATGGGACTGTTCGCAAGCACAGCTTTTAAAAAACTACTGCAAGTTGCTTTGCTCTACTCAGCTCTTAACATTTTAGACAGCGAAAACACAGGGCACTATTGCTTCCAGAAGGTACTCTAAACCACAGCTGCAGAAAACCAAAGGCAGGCAGGAACCGCGCTCCACAGCGCACAAGCAGCAGGACGCAGGGCGCGGCCCGGGATCCCTGCCTTCCCCCCGGTGCTGGGGGAGCCCGCTGCTGCCTGCGCCGCCTCATTCTCTCCAAGTTACAGTATGACGGCTGAGTTTGTTTTTTTAAGCGGTTAGGCACCTTCCATTTCATGTTGCATTATAAGTAATACAATGGCAGTTATGGCCTCTACTATCAAAAGGAGAAAAATTCAAACTACATTCTTTGGGGCAGGGCAGGACAGTAATAAAGCTGCGTGGTTTAAAAATATTTACCTAACAGTGGATTTGGGGGGGGGGGTTTATAATTTCTACAAGAGAATACAGGCCGGAAATAGAACAAACGCCTGGACATGCAAACTCTATCGGACACACTCTAAATGAAAACTGTGCATCCTCCTGTAGAGAAGGGCCCAGGCTGACTTGAATTCTGAACAAAAAACACCACTCTGTTCAAGGTAAGCTGTGGACATTCCACATGCAGGTAGCATGAAATGCTTTTTCTGATACAGATGGTCACTTGAAAACTTAGGATCCGAAGTCAAGCAGGTCACCTTTTACACCTCACAGATCCCAGGAGAGATGCTCAAGAAGGAGGAATAAGGCCATCTGCGAGGTACACAGATGCGTGTGGTTTTTGTGTCAATTCAGAGACATCACTCTACGACACAAAGCAGCGCCACCCACTGGTGATACTGGACACACCCCATGCTCCGGGCTCCTCCTGAGCCCACACTCGGACTGCACAGGTTAGGGGAACGGGTGCACGAAAAGATGGGCAGGGCGGTCTGAACGCAGGTCTCCTGGGGTTCTGCAAAACCTAGCACGAAGCATCTCCATCTTGGTGTCCATTTCCATTCTACTAAGTTTCCAGTAAAGACACGGAGCAATGTGAATGTGCAATCTAAGCTAGCATGAGGTTCTGGAGAGTAAGCCTGAATGAGGAATAAGGCAACTAAACTGTGACTGGCCAAGGTCATCCATCTGCAAGTGTCCAGGCTTGGCCCGGCTCTCTGGGGATTCATTCTGGCCTGAACTTCCTGGTAATCACGACCACGAACTTCTGGCTTCTGAGGCTTCAGTAAATAGTTTGAATATATAAACCTGGGAGTGAACAGGTTTACCCTTTTCAAGTCTCCATGATCTGGGCACTTAAAAATTTGCTTTCACACTAAGGAAGCCCTATCATAGATTTTCTTTTACTGTCCTTCACATTCATTCCTAGGATCAAAGGGTGAAAATTAACAGACAGATTATAGTCCCTCTTTAGGATATTCTCTCCGTACTCTCTCATATTATTAAACATACTCAAAAGCATCATTTAAATTCAAATGTCTATTATAACAAGAATCCCTTGATTCATCTGCTTACTAAAGCCCACTGAGACGACACTTGGGCACGATCAAACCTACTGGTAAATTCATATTACAAATGAGAACAGCCACACGGCTTTTTACACACCGTCTCCCGGTGTCAGCAACACTCTTTATCTTACTGTAACTTTCTCTTCCTCAGATGATGTATGAGCAATTCATTTTTGGTTGCTGAGAGTTTACACACTATCTCTGAAAACAAACTACCTCTAGTTGAGTATGAAAACTTCTAAGCTTCCCTGAATTCTACACAGCTCACACATAGCTAGGTAGAATGAGAAGACACTACACTGAGCAGAAACACTTTCTAGGAAGCATGTTTAGATCAACAGAGGCCAATCAGGTGAGCATTCTTTACGCTAAAAAACCAAGACAAAACTAAAGTAAGTACGTAATTCGCACGTAATTTCCTAAAATTTCAGCTAGAAACCCCGCCCCCCCTTACAGGTTTATGATTGAGTTACCATTAAAGCTTAAATGATTGTTCCCAAGGAACCATCACATGTGTCAGCATTACCCACAGCTAATCCTTACGCTAGCTGCTTGAGCCAAGGGGGTTTTTACCCCATCATTAAATAGTGCTCAGAAAAGTAAGCAGTGCATCTTAACTGGTTAAGTACTACAAAATGACCTATACCATAGAAAAGGAGACACTTTCATTCAAAGAATATCTTAAAATTACTATTGCTGAAATAAATCAAAATCTACATTAAAATAGTACTAAACACCATTACATGCCATAAAAGAATAAATATAAATCATGGCAGATCAATAGCAGCATAACAAAGCATCTTTACACATTTTCACACTTTGGGCTGGAAAAGTACTCACAGCCTAGGGATACACTGGTAAAGTTCTGAATCTCACACTTTCTTTTAAATGCCATATTCTACAACAAAGTAAGGGCAGTGTGAATAACAGTTCCCTTTTCTGCATAGCTTTAAAACTGTTCTCAGTACACTTGAGGAATGGAACCAGAATGGCTTTATCGGATTGGTCCACTGGTCCTTTTGTCAAAGTGTTGAAGAAAACAATTAACAAAGACTTTTAACTGTGGTTAGACAGAAAAGGAAAATCAAAGGCTGTGTTTCACACACAAATGTAACATTTCCCAAACCACTGGGAAGTCTATGAAAATTTCCGGTAGGGTTTGAGCATCCCCAGCCCCAGCCTATTTCGAATCCACGTCACCACGCTCTGAGAAGGGCGCTGTTTGAACAGTGATGCTGCACTGGCGCCTGCTGCGTGGCAGGAGCGGGGACACTTAAAATGCTGGGAGATTTCAGAATTTTAAAGGCCCAGGTGAGGGCACATATATAAAATATACTTCACTTGAACAAGTAATTCCTAATTTATCAACTTAACCACGGATGCTTTAAAACTCGAAGTTACTTTCAGAACTGATTTCTGCTCTGTTCAACACGTGACCATCGGCCTCAGGCCGACGTGTCTGGGGGGTGGGCGGGCGCGGGGACGGGTGCGGGCGAGGCTGAGCTCTGCTGCAAGGCTGGTGGCTGCTGCTCCCTAAGTTCTGGAAAATGAAAGTGAGCTGAAAACCAGACTCCCCATTTCACACACTTCCTCATCGCTGATGAAAACACCCATATAACTTAACACATGGTCTTTCTGTCGTTTCGGCAAAATAAAAGTTTGCTGGTGATGCTTCACAGTGACACCTCCATTATCACTGAGAATGTCCCTTGGAAACATTCTTAAGGACGGAGTCTCTTTCTTGTAGGCTCGATTTCAGAATTCTCACAACTCCATGTTCTGTTTAGAAAGAAGTTTCCATGATGAAGCCTGCTTGTTTTCGAGGCTGACCCTCTGCCTTCAGATTCATTCCACTCCAGTCATAGGTTGTGGTTGTCTTTGTTCTTCGTCAGAACCTGCAGGTAGACTTCATGAAGTGTGCTGAGAAAGCTGGAATCGTTCTGGAAGAGATGAGGGAGGTAAGGACATCAATGTCAGAACTTACTTCAACTTCCTTCTTTGATAACAGTTTAGGAGCAGATTATATAAATGATTGGTATAACTAATTTACTAATTACTCAATCTCATCACCCAGAGACAGTCATGACTAACACCGCGGAGTCTATTAAGCTATTACTCCACCAAGAGTATAAACTTATGAAGACAGAAACAGGACATTACTCAAAGCTAGTCTTTTGAAACTCATTTTTTTTTTTTTTTCCGGTGGATTCTGGGAATCGAACTCAGGACCTTGCGCTTGCCAGGCAGGTGCTGTGCTGCTGAGCTATATCCCCAGCCCAAAGCTAGTCTTTTGAATATGTAAGAACTGATAAAATTAGTTTTCTTTTATTGAAGAATAAAAATAGCAAGAATATACTGACACCGCACATACCTTTATTAGATGGATCAATGTATCCTGGAGCTGAGACTTGCTGAGGATGATGGACGGCTTTCTCTGATTTTCTGGTGTTCCAATGGTGAGGGGAGAAGGGGAACTTGCTTTCCTCTCAAGGTCTGTGGACCTTGGAACAGTCTGCTGGAAAACACTCGGGGACAGCAGGACTGAAGACACTGCTGTGGTTGTCGCAGTAACCAGTGGAGGGCCTGCAACCTGCGGGGGTGCGGGCAGGGTGGGCAGTGGTCATTTTATACTGTGCAGAAGCAAGCAGCTGTTCCAGAGCAGAGGACAGCTGATAGGCACTAGCAGCATGAGGGTGAAAGCACAGAGCAAACACTTCCTTCCTCTTACTTCCTATTTTCCCCTCCTTCCCTTCTTCTTTTTTCTTTCCGTAATGCCGGGGATTGAGCTCAGGGCCTTATGCCTGCTAGGCAAGTGCTTTACCATTGAGCCACACCCGCCAGCTCCCAAACACTAACTCCTTTGGGTTCAGAAAAGCATTTAGGAGGAACATATGAACATTTTAAGCTAGTCACTGTGGCACACATCTATAATCCCAGCACTTGGCGCCTAAGGCAGAAGGATCACCAGAGTTCAAGGCCAGCATGGGTTACACACCGAGTTCAAGGCCAGCCTGAACGACACAGAGACCCTATCTCAAAAACAAAACAAAATAAAACAACAAAACATTTGAACATTTTATTATATCTGACTATGAAGCCCCCATTGGCGAAAAGATGAAGAGCCCACTTACAGAAGAAGGCCCTAAGCTGGGCATGGTGGTACACACCTATAATCTTAGTGCTCGGGAGGCTAAGGCAGAACAGCCTGAGTTTGAGGCCAGCCGGAGCTACACAGTGAGTTCAAGGTCAGCCTGAACTACAAAGCGAAATCCTAACTCAAAAAAACAAAATGAAACATAGAAGGATGCCCCAGAGCAGTGATGGCAAACCTTTCAGAGCTTTCAAGGATAACAGTTTGCTGCAGCATGCGTGCCACAAGTTTGCCATCACTGCCCTAGCGTCAGCAAGGGAAGCCAAGGCCAGCCACTCAGAATGTGGTCATAAGAATTAACAGTATGGTATGCACAGCCAGAACAATCCTATGATAAAAACAAAACTTCCTTGGGGATGGAGCTGAGGAAACGACTGGACCAAAGATATGATGAAACTTTCTGTAGTGATGAAACTGTTAGCTATTTTCAGTGGCTTATCTCCTATTTTTTTTTTTTTTTTTCCTGGTACTGGGGATTGAACCGAGAACCTCTGCACTAAGCTGCACCCTCAATTCTTTTTATTTTTGGAGACAGGGTCTTGCTAAGTTGCCCAGGCTGGGCTTGAACTTGGGATCTTCCTTTCTCAGTCTCCCAGAGTTTTATGATTACAGGTGCATACTACTACACCCAGCTGGACTGCTTTACCCAGGGGCTATTATATACATGTGTTAGAATGCCTTAAAAAAAAAAAAAATCTGTATTTTACTGTACATAAATTGTAGTGAAAAGAGACATTAAAAATTCAGTTCTGGACTGTCATGTAGCTCACTGGTAGAGCAACTGCCTTGCCTGTGCAAAGGTGGCCCTAAGTTCCAGTACAGCAAAACAAAAACCAACTAGTTCTATAAAGATAACATTTCTTGAAAATACAGCTAACATCTACCTACTTCCTCCACTTAGATGTGTTTCTATGCTAATTACAGTTCGCACTCAAAATACACTTAACCAGTATTATGGATATTTTTAATAATTCTTACCTTTGATGTAATCAATAGAGGCTCCACGTTTCTTGTGCCCTCTTCTTTTTTGGGGTGCTGAGGACTGAATCAAGGACTTGACACATGCTAAGCACGTGCTCTACCTTTGAGCCACACGCATAGCCCCTCTCTTGCTCCTACATGTCACCTCCTCATCTACCAATAGCAGAGTTTGCCAGAGTTTTATGGCTACGGTTCCTGATATCTGAGCCATTCATCTTGTTTTTTGGTACAAAACCAGGCTGAGAGCTCTTTGCTAATCAGCACAGAGCAGGACAAGCCACCTGAAACTGGGCAGAAGCTGGATTTAATTTAAATTTGAGATTCAAGATGTGTGCACGCTCAAAGACAAAAAGGAGTGTGACAAGGACTGAAAATAGAATGTGGATTTCAAGGTGTGGGGGGGTGCTGGAGAGTAGGGGACAACACATGTAAACAATGAGGCCTAGTCCAGTGTGCATCACACCTGTGATCCCAGTACTTGGGAGGCTGAGGCAGGAGGATCATCTTGAGTTAGAAGCAAGCCTGGGCTACACAGTGAGTTTAAGGCTGGCCTGGACTACACAGTGAGACCTTTACTCAAAATACCAAAAAAGAAAAGGAAAGTGTGTGTATGGGGGAGAGGTCTGAAAAGATAATCATCATTACAGCAATGGGAAATGAGAAGATTGTGGCAGGATAGTGGCTGTCATATGGAACCACATAGCTCTTTGAGGGCAATGAATATTTTCTATCTAGAAACCAGGTTTGATGGGCATGTCATCGTGTAATCCTAGCACTCTGGGAGGCTGAGGCAAGATCATTAATGGGCAACTTAAGGCTGGGCAACTTAGTGGTTTAGTGAGATTCTGTCTCAAAAAATAAAAAAGGGCTAGAGATACAGGTCAGTGTGAAGGTCCTGAGTTCAGTCCCCAGTACAGCAAACACACACACACACACACACACACACACACACACACACACGGAAAAAAGAAAAACAAGAGAAACCAGGTCGATAACACTGGCAATCACCCACTCACAAATTCCAATGAAGTCCAGCGAAGGCTGACCTAGAGAAGAGATGAGGCCCACAGAGGCCACAGCAAGGAACTCTACCTGGGGGAGCAGAGTGGCCCGGTCTAGGAGGGACATCTGAGATGAGCCTGGACTTGAAAGCTCAATTTTTTTTACGAAGATGTTAACAGTTCACCTCACATCCAACAGGACTTAAAAAAAAGGGGGTTCTTACCGAGATGGCACTGGGTAACACTTTGGGCTGGGCAAATACTTCAGGATCCTGGTTTTGCTGCATAGGCTGAAATGTTTAATAAGAAAAGGCAAACAGATATAGCACATTTCAATTAAAATTTCCTGGTTTCTGGTGAAAAATCTAGGTTAGTGATAAGGAACAGTTTAGATATTAACCAATTCCTAGGCTGCTGAGTGAAAAGGCTGACAGGAACTGCTGACAGCGCAACTAATCACAAGACGCCACCGTGAGGAGCAGCCTTCCCTCCCTGAGGAGAGCGGCGTGGGCAGAGCTGCCCAGTGTCTCCAGGGAAAAAGCTGCAACCTGAGTCTCTCGTAAGAGCCAAGGACAATCCAGTCTTGCTACTGGGAACAGATGACAGACAGATCTTGGCTGTCTGATACTTTTCTTGGGGGCTGGGGAATCAAATTCAGGGCCTCATACCTGGGTTCTACTGCTGAACTACACGCCCAACTGCAGCCCTACGTCTCTTGATAAAGTTATTTAAACTGCGGGCCGGGGGTGTAGCTCAGCGGCATAGCGCCTGCCTGGCAAGCGTGAGGTCACGACTTCGATTCCCGGTACCACCAAAAAAAAAAAAAAGTTACTTAAACTTGTGGCACTAAACAGTATTCACCACAGTCCTATTCCCACATGCTCATTCTGTCTCACTCACTGGAGAGAAGGAACTTGTTATAGAGCAAAACATGAGGACCCTATAAAGCACAGGTCCTAAAATTAGCTACTGCCTCATAAATAAAAAATTATAGGTGAGTGAATGACCCCTGCCAGGAGGCATGCAAGAGCAGGTGTCACCCTAGGGGCCAAAATCTGGACAGGACTTGGGTCAGGACTGCTGGCTGTGTCTTCAGAACTCAGGCGGCGCTGGGAACATTCTAGGCACAAGCCCGTTACCTGCTGAGCAGTGTTTTCTTTTTTATACTGCAGAAAAGGCTAGAAAATGACAATGTAACGATGACACCAGGGCGCTAAGTTTTCTTTTTTCTACACAATGTCTCAGAGGAATGAAACAATCCCGTTAACTAAGAAACAGTAAGAGTCCACAGTCCTCTCCCTTCTCTCCTCCCCTCCCTCCATCCTTCCCTCTTGGGGTTGAAACCATGGTCTTCTCATTGAGCTACAGTCTCAGCCTTTTTAAATTTTTCATTTTGAGGACAGAGACTTGCTAAGCCACTATGCTACCCAAGCTGGGCTTGAATTTGTGATCCTCCTGCTTCAGCCTCCCAGAGCACCAGAATTACAGGCATACCTCACCATGGTTGCAATACATGGTAATTCTGAGGGGTTACTCTATACAGTATTAATTGGTAAAATGCTAAGACTGGGAATCATTTCTATTATCATTGGAGGGCACAAGACTAACATCCTAAAGGCAACCACTGCTTTACTTCTTCTTTTCTTTTTTTTTGAGACAGGGTCTCACACTGTAGTGCAGGCTGGCCTTGAACTTAACTTATGTTGCCCAGGCTGGCCTCAAACTCACAGTGATCCTCCTGTTTCAGCCTCCTGAGTGCTGGGATTAAAGGCATGCACCACCAAGCCTGGCTAACTACTACTGTTTTAGAGGTGCAGGTTCTATTCCCTTTCAGCTCTGTGATCTATGAGTCACTTGAACTCTTAGCTGAGTTTCTCATTTGGAAACTCCGCAGATTTATGAATTATGGTGAAAGACAAATCTCTTTTTACCTTCTTAACTACCTGACCACTTCCCTGTCCACGTTCTCCAATTTAAGCTTGAACCAGATTAAATCTGGATGCCTGCGTGCCTTTCTCCGAAGGCAGTTCTTTCTCCACAGCACATCAAAGACGTGCCAGGCCTGCGAACAAAGCTCAAACTCCTGAAAGCCCACCTGCAGTCCCACTCGTGTCCCAATACTGGCTCCCAGCTTCCTTTCCACAACACACCCATCTCACTGCAGTTTTTGTGTTTCAGTGCTGGGGTTAAACCCCAGGCCTCCTCATGGTGGACAAACGGCACCACTGAGCTTTGTGGTCAGTCCTCCTGGGATAGTTTCCTAAGTTCACCGAACGCTTTCTCATCTCAGGGCTCCGCATATGCTGTTTTGATCACGTGGCTGAGGGGCTGCTCTCAGCTGTACTCCGAGGCCATCTGAAAGCACCTCGAGGATGGGGCCTGGGTCTCACATTCCTCTACGGTTCCCAGCGAGGTCCCCACTGCCACACAGGCTTGCAGCTGCCCCTGCTCCCAAAGCCACTGTGATCCCAGCCAGGCCCAGTGACGCGGACTTGAACCTCCTGAGAACAGCTGACCCTTTCTAAGGCAGCACTGCCTGCAGAGAGGCTGCTCCACAGAGTAATGCTTTGTGCATTTCCAGGTCAAAGCAGCACACTGACAGAAAGGACTGAAAGACACCATGAGGAGTGGTGGGAGGTGGTGACTCTGTCAAATAGCAGGGCAAACGGGTTGCTTAGACAAGAAGGAGCTCTCCCAGCTACCCACCAGGATGTGGGGCCAGCCGTCTGGTGACACTGGGACAAGGCCTTGGCCATCCCTGCAACGCCTTGGCTGACTGGGGCCCCAGTCACTTAACACCTCAGCACAGTAAGCGGCCAGTAAGAGGTGAGGTGGGGGCGACACACAGGAACTGCGGGTGTGGTTTCACCCACCATGTGCCACACATAACCAAGTAAGGCACTGGTATGGGGACGAGCGGGCTCAACCTTAATGGGTAGGGCCATCTCTCACAACCTCCTGCCCCAGAAAAGCACACAGCGGGTGACCTCACCTTCCCTGACTGCATTTTTTCTTTTTAGTACTGGAGGCTGAACCCTGGGCTGTTACACTGAGCTGCATCCCCAGTCTTTTAATTTTGACAGAGGGTCTCGCTAAGTTGTTCAGCTGCCTGGGTTACTGAACTCTCCACCCTGCTCCATATGCTGTTCTTGCCTCAAACAATGTCCCCAACACTAGGGAAGATAGGATTAACTTGAGTCTTTAGACCGCAGGGAAACATCAGCTTCACCGGGAAGCTTTACGTGACCCCTTGCCTCTGCATCTGGCATGCGCCTATGGCACTGCTGGCACAAGGCCGGCGCTTAAGAGCACTCAAGAGGGGAATGCCTAAGCTTGGGATATTTTGAATCTCTGGTCTTCAGACAAATGAGGACTCCTAGAAATGTCAGATAAAAAGAAACCTAAAATGGATACCTGGATAGGAAAATAATTTCTTGGCTTTCACCAGCTGGAATAGTTTAAGTGAATTATGATTAATTCATATAGTTTCTTACCCCCTTGTCAGGATTTGGATCTAGAATTCCTCCCAAGGCTCAGGTTGAAGGCTTGGTCGCCAATGCAGCAACTTTCAGAGGTGGGCTTTTGGGAAGCGACTGGGTTATGAAGGCTCTGGCCTTATCAATGGATTAATCCACTAATGGGTTCACAACTGAAGGAGGTGGAGCCTCGCTGGAGCAAGTACAGTAGTTCACTGGGGTGTGCCCTGAAAAGGTGGGTTGTATCTGACCCCTTCTTTGCTCCTTCTCTCTGCTTCTTGATCACCCTGAGGTGACTAGCTATGCTCCATCATACCCTTCTACCATGATGTTCTGTGTAACTGCAGGCCCAGGAACAAAGGTGTCATGTGACCATGGACGGACACTTCTGAAACTGTGAGTCAAAATTAATCTTTCCTCCTCTGCACTGATTTATCAGGTATTTCGTCATGATGACTGAAAACTAACAAGTAGCCTTTTCTTCCACCCATAATCTACTTCCAGAGAGAAAATTTCACACAACCAGGGCTTTGCCATTTTATCCCGCCCACACCCTCCTGCCGTTACCTGAAGAGGAGCAAGCACCATGTTGCTCAGGGAGGCTGGGGCCACTGCTCTTGCTGCTGCTGTCTTAGAGGGAGGCTCTATGAAGCTCTCGGGTGTGGCCAGCTGGCCAGCTGCTGGAGGAAAGCTGGGTGCTACTGCACCTTTCCCAAGTGGCTGTGTCTGTATTTGGTCATGCTGTGGAGTCAACCTGAGTTTCTGGAGAAGATCAATGCTCGGGAGGGGTGTGCCAGCTGTGTTCGTCATGCTCAGCGGGGCCCTGAAGGGGCTCTGGCTGGCCATTAGACCGCTGTGGCTTAGCTCTGGGACTGGCTGGCTCAAGAGTGGAGACCTCTGCCTGGGCGTAGTTTTCACTGCCGGTATCATGGTGCTATTTCGAGGTAAACCAGGGGCAACCTGTGTAGTAGCCGCTTCAGGTGGCAGAGTGGGACTGAGAACAGGGCTCAGCGGGACTGTGTAGCTTGGGGCGTGCCTTTCACTAGACTGTGTGATTGAAGCTGGAGTGATGAGCACGGGGGCAGGGACTTCAGGTTGGACGGCGTGGTGAGCAGTTGAATGGACACTCAGGTTTTCCAGCTGGGTGGCTTCTCCAGAATGCTCAAAGGGATAAGGTAGGAACGAGCTGGGCTCTTTCTGGGAGGCATCTCCTGGCAGCTTCTCTACTTCTTCTGAATCCAGACCCGTAACTGCTGGTTGTTCTTTTGGCAAAGAGGTTCCAAACAACTCTTCCACTGTCAGATGTTTATGTCCAGACGGAGCAGACTGAAGAACAAATCAAACCACCCAGTGAGAGACAGACCAGTGTAACCGAACTTCTCCACCAAGAGTCCTTTTTATTTTCTGTCACTGTCTTGCTAAATGGCTCAGGCTGGCTTCAAACCTGTGACCCTTCTACCTCAGGCTTTCAAACAGCTGGGATTGCAGGTGTGCTCTAGCACACCTGGCTCAAGTTATTCACGTATTTTTATTGTTCCTTATAAACAGCTAGGATGGTACTTCAGGGACTGGGTCCCAAATATCAGAAAATGAATTTAATCACTTAATAGCATAACTTTTCCCCTTCTTTCCCCCAAATCAGAGAATCCTTAAGCAAGTACAACACTGCTGAGTGTAGAGCTACATGCCTGCAATCTCAGCTACTTGGGAGGCTGAGGTGAACTGCAAGTTTGAGCAAGTTAGTGAGACCCTGTCACAAAGTAAAACCTTAAAAAATATGTGTGTGTGTGGGGGCGGGGCGGGCATACTGTTGTGATTCACAGTGCAACACTTGCCTAGCATGAATGAAGTTCTGGTTTTGATGCCAGTACTGCAAAAAAGCTAAGACTTCAAATCTGAAAATTTTAAATTTACATAATTAGCTTATGAAAACCATTTCAACTATTCTTATTTTTTGACTTAAGGTTTTTTTTTTTTTTTTTCTTTTGGCACCGGGAATCAAACTTAGGACCTTGTGCTTGCAAGGCAGGTGCTTGTACTGCTGAGCTATATCCCCGGCTCATTTTTTGAGGAGTCTTGCTATGTTGCCTGGGCTAGCCTCAAACTCACGATACTCCTACCTCAGCCTCCAAGTAGCTGGGGTTACAAGTGTGCACCACCATGGCTGGCCACTGGCACTATTCAAAGGAAAAATATTCATGTTTCCCTTTTATGAGCTTTTCGGGGACTTCAAGCAGTATTTTTTTTTTTTTTTTGGTTTTTTTGAGGCAGGGTCTCGCTATGCAGTTCAGGCTGGCCTTGAGCTCACTTTGTAGCCCTGGCTGGTCTTGAACTTGCAATGATCCTCCTGCCTCAGCCTCCCGAGTGCTGGGATTACAGGTGTGTGCCACCACATCTGGCTCAGTATTTCCGAATATATCATTTAACTTACATTTCCTGAATACTCAGGTTACCAGGTCCTGCTGACTTGAGCCCAGACTAAACAAGCAGGACGTAACAACGTAACTCCTCACAGAAGTTACACTCTGAGGGAGAAATACCCAAGTACTTCAAAAACACAAATCTCTTTATTGTTTCATTCTTCAAATGTGTTTTCAATTTCCAGAATATGGTCTGTAAAGCCCTAAAGCACCCTGCACTTCACGTATCATGTGATAGCACTATGGTATGGTATTATTTCTATAGGAAAACAAACTCCGTTTTTTTCTGGGCAGATGTTTTGGTTTCAACCACCTGAGCTCAACAGGTGCCAGGCAGTGTGCTGTGATCATGAGGTGGAGAGCAGTGGCAAGGACAACGTGGTGCCATGGGGTCCTCTGGGGCAGAGCTGCAGGGGCGCAGGGGAAGGAAGGAAGTACTCCAAAAGAGGCCAGTAAGCTGAGGGTAGCGGTGAGGGCAGCTGGCTGGACAGGCTTGGTGAAGGAGATGTGGTGAAGGAAGAGACAAGCACTGCAGTTTCTTGAGACGCCCTGGGGGTCTGGGCTTTATCCTTATGGCAATGGGGGCACGTTCAGGGAAATGAGCCCTTCAGGTTTATACGTCAGGGTGCATACTTTAGCGGCCACACAAACACAGACTGGGTGGGTAAGACTGAGGAGTCTGGACTAAGGTCCTAGCGGAGAAGATGAGAACTGAGGACTTAGAACGGAAGGAATTAGAGGCTGGATAGCCGGTAAAGTGGAGGCAAAAGCACACCCTGCCATCTGCATACTAGGGAGGCAGGCAAGCCCAAGAAAGGCCCCTAGCAGGAGGGAGGGGAAACAGGTGAACTGGGAACACGTCTGAGGTCTTGAGAGACATCTGGAACTTGGAGTCACTGATCTGGAAATTATTGAAAGACAAGAATGGCCATACAATTCCAAGAGCAAAGGCATTTCCTGGGGATACTGTAGGGATACGCATCAGCATCTTACCAAACACCAAGAGGCAGGCCTTGAGCAGCACGGCTACTGCCTGGCTCTGCACTTTCCAGCAGTGCGGCCTGGGGAGTCATTCATTTCTGCCTCAGTTCTTCTGTGAAGTAGGGAGGGCTGATGGGATGTGGAATGTATGAAACGCATTATATAGGAAGTGCTCATTTAATGTTAATACTTGTAATTTCAACAGTAGAAAGTAAATTCCTCCAAGGCAGGGGTGGTCATTTTTCCCCCTGATCCTTGGTCTTCTTTCTCCTGGGCATGCCCACCTACAAAATGGTACCATGACCCAGTGTCACAGATCCAATAAAGTACACAGTAGCAGCTCAACAATGCTCTCTCCCCAAATTCTCCCGGGGCTGGGGGTTAGTATGAGAAGCGGGGCTCACTGGGTAAGGGAACCCAAGTGATGACACAGGGGGGTTTGCATGTTAAGGGAGCGTCATTTTTTTGTTTTTTTCTCCAGTGTAAGGACAGTGTTATCTATCAGGTGAGAGGTAGGAAGGTAGGTCCGAACAAAATGCAATTGATGCGAAGTAACTGTTGGGGAGGAAGAGGTAAAAGATTCCTTCAATTATAAAAACTGTAGCTTCATATCAAACCATTTGCAAAATAATAAAGAGAATTCTGTTAATATTAAAAAGTTAACATAGGGCCAGGGATATAGCTCAGTGGCACAAGTGCCTGCCTGGCAAGTGCAAGGTCCTGAGTTCAATTCCTGGTACAAACAAACAAAAAAAAGGAAACTTGTTAAAAAGCTAACATAATATATCTTGGCAAGTGAATAGGACAAGAGGTTTCTGTTTAAGTGAAGAAATTCTCAAATGGCAAATTCAGGCCCCCACTAATAATGCTGTAGTAAGACAGTAAGACTATCCGTCACAACACCTTCTAGCACTTTAAAGGATTTTTCAGATTCAGAATCTCACTTCAGATATAACGCAATACCAACATCTAATTATAAACTGTGGATATAAAAAAAGCTAAGGATTTTATATGGTCCAATTTCCTCATACTTTTACTTCTGAAAAAACTGTAGTGCTTAGAGTCTGCATCAAAGGTATCAATTCTTAGCTGTGAACATGTAAAGTTCTATATTCTATTTAGTTACCAATCTGCAAAATGGGCACAAATTGTGGCAAATGTGTCATGTAGCTGCTGTGAAAATTAAATTTTCTTTTTTCGGTCTTTCTGAGACAGGGTCCCGCTATGCAGTTCAGGTTGGCCTTGAGCTCACTTTGTAGCCTAGGCTGGCCTCAAACCCCCAATGATCCTCCTGCCTCAGCCTCCTGAGTGCTGGGATTATAGGCGTGCACCACCATGCCTAGCTTTAAATTTTCAATATAATGTCTACTGCCCAGCAAGCATTCAATAAGTTGAAATTAGCCTATTACTATCAAGTATTATGCAGTCTTTTAAATTTTTTTGGTGCTGGGGCTTTAACCCAGGGTCTCAGGCATACCAGACTAATGCTCTATCACTGAGCTATATTCCCAGCCCAACTACATAGGAGCTCCCCGTCTCCCCCATGGTGCTGGCGATTGAACTCAAGGTCTTCACATTGAGCCCCACTCTTTAATTTTGAGACAGGATCTTGCTAAGTCACTAAGTTGCTCAGGTTGGGCCTGAGCCTGTGATCCTCATGCCTCAGTTTCCCAAAGTGTCGGGATTACAAGTGTGTGCCACAATGCCCAGCTACCATACAGTTTTAATAGCAACCAAGATAACTCTGTTTAGACATACCATAAGTTTGAGGCCAGCCTGGGCTATATAGCAAGACCCTGTCTCAAGCAAAACAAAACAAAACAAAATGAAATACAACTCAAATCTTCCATCCAAACACAAAAACCAACCAAACAAAATTCATCAAGTCCTTCTAAAAAACACCATAGTTTAGAATAAAATGGACCAAGACTGCTTGACAAAAGTGCTAATAACACTTGGCAGATGTGGCAGAACAGGCCTGTAGTTAGCACCCTGGGTGGGTGACGCAGGAGGATAGAAAGTTTGAGCCCAGCCTAAGCAATTTAGTGAGACCCTGTTTAGATGAAAACAGAAAGTACTGAGGGTGCAGCTCCGTGGAAGGCCTTGGTTGCAAATCCCAGTGCTAGGAAAAAAAGAAAAGTGCTAGAAACAACACTGGTGCTCCTTCATTTATGCAAATTATACAGTACCTTAATAAACACATTCTGTTTTGTGCACAAACCAACATACTTTGAAAATCACAGCACACTGGGGCTATTCTGTAGAAACACCAACAATAATGTATTTTTGTTTTAAGCAAAGGCATATACAAACAACATGGCGTGGAAAAGCTCCACAGTAAAATATACCTAAGGCCTGACCACAGGAAGCAAAATATGAACGAGGGAAACATCCTGAGGGAATTATAATAAGCGGACTGTGAAACTGAGATGAAATTTAATACTATTAAAGTCTGACAGCACAATTTGTGCCACGCACTAGATGGCAGTGTTTAAACAAATGCACTGTGTGTAAATGGCGGTTATGGATTTGGGCTAATTTTAGGCAATCACATGGGTTCCAACAACACCTAGCTCTCAGTATTTTGTAAGAATTTTTTACTTTGGTCTAAAAATGGAATTTAAGGAGTATATGAGACCTGAGAGAATAACAACGTCAGCGCTACTTGAATTAGGGGGTACACCTCCTTGAGTATCCATTTAATTTCCTATGTCCACAGCTCACAAGTGCTGTTGTTGAAAAGCTAAGAGCATCACCAGCTTGTTACATTAATCTTCCAACTTCCAATGGACAGTGCTTTATGGTCTCCAAGCATTTCTTCTTGGTCCTTTTCTTTTTTTCGGTTTCAAAATACATATTGTAACTCTGAGTGAGGTGGTGTAAGAATCCTTAAACTCAAGGTTCAAAAAGGAAAGGGGAAGTGAT